TTTGCTTATTAAGACTTTTGTTAAAAAACATGGAACCTATCCTTCAATGCCAGCAAACAGACTTAGTTTTCACACAAAGAGACAACAAGCCTGTACAAAACAAGTCTGGGCAGATTTTGAACACCATGGAAGCTAAGTTTTCTGTGTCAAGCCGACGCTAAAATATCTGATCCATCGCACTGATTCTCAAGTTGCAAGTTTCAGTGAAGATGAGAAAGCCCTCATTGTTCCATGAGCAAGATTCAGCCAGTCTGCATTGACAGAACAATTTATTAGGGTGCTTAAAGATTCATTTGGACCAAGAAGAGTAATGTTTAAAAAATAATGCTGATTTATATTCTGTGTACCTGTGCAAGATTCTGGGGGTTGGAGATTTGAAGAGTGAAACCTTGGGGGAAAATAGACGTGGATGATGTCTCCTACCTGAATTTTCTAACCCTGACAAATTGCAGGTGTATTTCTCAGCTTATCGAACTATCACTCCATCCAGCCTGTCACCCTGACTCTCACAAGGACTCCTCGAAAACACACAACAAAAACATGGGATTTCCCAGAAGAATAAAAAATGGAATGGAAAATATTCTTTATTTTTTCCTGGAGGAGCTCCCTGCTTGACACCAGTTCACAAACTTCTGGTGCCCAAAGTATCTGTCCATCTTCTTCCTCTTGCCTCCCAAACTACAGCAGTGCCATCTGCGTAGCTCAGGAAGGACTCGTTTTAGTATTCCACCCCTGAAGTGTTCGAGGCATCCATATTTTTCCATGTTTCTATAAACCCTCTGAGGTTTGGCTATCACTGAAACACCCCCTCCACATCTTTCCCGTTCTAGCAATAAAAGTAAATCCAAAGGAATGTGAAACTTGTCTAACATGTGAGGTTTTTTGCTATGCCAACAGACTGCTAAATTTTCCACAGAGCCCCCACCCTGCAGAGTAAATACCAGGTAGTGATCAAAAGCACAATGTGCCTGCTGACAAAAGGGATCTCGCTCACTGTAACAACACTTTCTCCACCTCTATCTATCTCCTTTTTCTTGAGAACACAGTTTTACACTTGTCCTTCATACAAATAACCCGAGGGTGGGAATTATTCAGAAGGCTCGTGTTTGACACCCCATCTGTTCATTTCTGACAGCGATATATAATGTAAGGCTATAAAAACTTGAAAAATAATGCAACATAAAAAGGGATTGACTCGGCTCCAAGAGGCCATAAACGGTAACAAATACCATTGTATGATTTATTTCATGCTGTAATCTTTACAGTAAGTCATCTTTCAGACATTTCCTTGTGACAGGTTTTAATAATATTAATGCCCAGAGCAATCCAAATCATCGCCAATAGACATATTTATCAAGCTGCCAATCCAAGTAAATGAAATTCTATAAGCAATAATGTAACATGTTTAAAGGAAGCTAATAAAACAAGTCAGGAGAGAAATATTACTGCAAACTATTCTCTCTCTAATCCAGCCCTGGATTTTATACAGCCAAAATGCAAATCTTTCCCTCCGTGATTTATCGCTCCAAAAATACCAATGACCTTTTTGGGAGCTCTTGCACAGCCCTTCTCACACATTTATAAAGATTGTGATGCATTCTGCCAGATTAGCTGGGCTGGAGTGCTCAGCATTGCTGCTTTGTTTTGCCCTACCTTTGGATTGGAAAGCGATGGGTAGCATCAGAGTAGGATCTTAAGTCTTTAAAATTTATTAAAGACTGACAAGCCCTAACATAGGCTTGGCAACTCAGCACGTATTTATTAGCAATTATCCAGGCACTAGATAAATTACAATTAAAAGGGAACTAAAACTTGGTCTTTAACCTGGTTTCCCCTTTAATCTAATTTAGTTTTTATTAATCCTGTGCTTGTCTGAAGTGACTCTATACCAGGAGAAAAGGGAAGAAGCCATTGCAGAGTTGTGTGCATACAGACCCTTGCTCACAAACATTCTCTTATGCCTCACTAGAAACTTAGCAGAAATGAAAAACAAGAATCAACAATTCAGCAAAACATACACCATTAAATTTGTCGTGCCTTAGGCAAGAATGTGTGGAAAACCATGACTAGTAAAGCAAGTGTATCGATGCAGGGCCTCAGAAGTGCTTGAAGAATCCTAACAGGTCTTTATGAATTCAGTTCTGGCCGAGCTTCACAGTTCTTTGGTATTTTGTGTTTGGTTGATTTTTATTTTTTTTTGGGGGGGGAGGGAGAATATTGGTTTGTGACTTTTATTGGCAATAATTAAGTTCTTTCCTGGGACATCAAGATCTTATTTTCAATTAAAAAAAATGCACGAGCCTAGTGTGTGCAGTACAAAGCCTAGAATACCACAAATATTGGCAAGACCTGAACGAAATGTGCTTTGAGTCTTAGAACAGGCCACGTGCAATTCTTTCCCACTATACTTCATCACATTTCCCTGAATCATGGTTTGATTAACTTCCTCATTGATTAGCCTATATGCAAACCTTGTTTTAAACTTGGATGCCAGATTCCATTTTTTTTTAAATTTATTTATTTTTATACAGAAATTAAGTATTTCACTGGCTAAATATTCCAACGCAGATATTTTCAAGGGAGTCCATAACAGGACAAGATGGTGAGTACCCAAGTCATTCTGAAAGCATTGCCTGTGGCATGCAGTGGAAATGATCCCCATTGTATGTCCAGACATCCCAGAAAACTAGACTTGTGTTAAAGTGCCTGTCTTCCCTGGATTAGATTACAGTTTGCCATCCTAAATCAAACAGAGCAGAGATTTGAACCTGGAGCTCCCATTGGCCACTGTCCGAACAGTGCTAATTTGGATAGAAAAGGTCAGTGTTAGCTTTTCTATGAGCAGAACACCCCAGGTGGAAAACCTCAGCTTAATCTGAAAATGGGCAACTGTATCCAATTCTATTTTTGGTTTAAATAATAATAAAAATTATTCGGGATTGATTTGAGATCTCAAATGTTATGAGGAGTCAGCCCCAAGGAGCTGTATTTTGCATTGTGAGGTTTCCTCTATGACTTTCAATACCTCATTTCACCCTTTCCTACTTCCCTTTGCTGCTCTTTAAGGCAAAAACTCCTTTTACCATGTGTGTATACAGTATCGAGCCTAACAGGGTTCTAGTCCCAGTAGGAGCCTCAAGGCATAGCTATAATACAAATAATAAATACTGCAACTAATAACAACAGCATGGTAAAATGCCCTCCCAAGGGAGGCACTGGAAGACCAGTCCCTGGTGTCATTTAAAACTAAACACCAGAAAACATACCTGCCCTGACTGGAGAGAATATAGTGTCTTTTTGATATGGTGATCAGGGAGAATCTTGATGGGGATGGGAACAATTATTTATCTGCACATTTGGCCATTTCTTTAGGGGATTTCAGAATATCTCTTAGCAACATTTTGTTCCTCACTGCTAAGCAGCAGCAGAGATCTCGGGGAAAATAAATAAATAAGTAAGAACTGTATAATCCCCAAGGTGTAATCCCAGAGTATGGAAACTCACTTCACTTAAATACCTCCCTCTGGCATAATTGACTTTTCATGCGCATGTTAATAATGGTATTTCAGCAGGTTGTGAGGGCTTGTTCTTCTCCCCTCTCCCTCCCCTCTTTGGTAAATTATGTTATTGGGCATGAGGAGGGGGAGGGCTGTATTATAAATCTAATTATGTTTTCATTTATATTTAACAAGTCAGCACAATCTGCTAGTATGTGTGTATGTATTTACCATGCAGTCCCAATATTTACAGCTGACCTAATTGGTTGTAGGACAGCTGCACTGAGCAACGTTTTATTGTCCTGATACCATGTATGTGCTGGGGACAGCGGCTAAGATGCAAAGCTCTCCAGAGGACACCTTACAGTCCTTGCCATACTGACATTTGCCTTTGCTGCTGAAGCACAAGATAGGATTTTGCAGGGAGGGGAAACGTTATTTATTAAGCCTCTTCAGTTCTACAGTGGCTGCAAATTGCTCACAAGCAGAAACAAGGCAAGAAATGCTAGTTTGGGCATCTCTTCCCCTACCAGGTTCCTGTTTACTCCCTGCAAATTCTAGTATGACACTGTTTGCCAATATGTCCTGTCACCCTCTCTAGTGGATGTTTGGAAGAGTGTAACAGCTTGTTATTACTGACAGCTCAGTTTCAGACCATGATACCCTTCCTTATGCTGAATATAGCAGCTCAGGTTATGAGGAGTCCCAGTGCAAGTCAACTGGACTGCTCAGCAAATTAAGTACGCTGTAGTTAAAAATATTGCAATTCACACCTTGGCTTAGACAGTAGATGACCATGCTCTGCCACCAGTTTGTGAACCCTGCTGGGAAATCAGATCCCTCCAGCCAGGAGGAATTTAGATGGCCTAGAAAAGACTGCTCTAGCATGCATTACTGATGCTAGGGAAAAATGCTGCAGGGTGAGATTTCTCTTGGATCGCCAGCTGGCTTTAGAGCAAACATCTTTTAGGGTATAGCAGAGTTTGTTGCTCTCCCCTGTTGCTGCCAACACCACACTGTAATTAAGCACCTGAGGAATGAGCAAAACTCAATGTCGGCTATTCATGTTCCTACCTTCAGCTGCTCTTGCCTCCACTCTGCCCTCTCAGAAGCAGCAGAATAAAATGCGATCACGATCCTGCTATTATTTGGCTTCTGTCTAGAAGGCAGTAATCACTTCCATGAGGTGCACCAATTCCTCCCTTCACCTTTCACTTGTACCTTCACATTAGTATCAGTTCGCAGCACCTCATGTATGCTTACAGGCTTTGAGTCTGCAGAAGGGTATGAGTTGACGTGCTGAGGATTTGGATACATCGGCATAAGTTGTGCTTTCTAGACATTTCAATTAATCAAGATGGGGGAAGCCATAAACCATCCACGTCAACCGCTAACAATAGCAGAAGAATTAGGAAACAGGCTGTTGCTACTTTCCACACGAATTCTCAATAAGAAAGTCCAGGAAATGCCTGCTCAGCACACACACAGCTTTACATTTCTTACCCATCAACAAATCTCTGAAGTGGAAGGTTGATAAAGGACCTTGACTTTGCAGGCTCTCCACGTGAAACAAGTGATCCGCTTCGTAATTTCAGTACCTCTGAAACAAAGACAATGAAACAAAATGGGCTTCCTTTTGTATAGCCCTCAGTTGTGTTTAGACCATGTCTGCAAATGGCCACTGTACCATTTTAGGGATTCTGCAGGAGCTTCAGAAATGCTAGAAAATGGAGCACTGAATTGGTTATTCATACAACTGCTCCAAAATATAGCACAGTGTTATAAAATAGCAATGCTATCTAGTATGTGTAAAACAGTCTGTAAAACACACACTTGTGGGACCCCCTAAGACCCTTGTTCTCATTTTGCATGGGGAAGAACGGGTTCTTGGCTACAGAGAATCACATCTTCCATGAGAAAAGGGGGTCCCAGTGCCAGTCCTGAAGAGAAAGGGTGTGGGTTTCTGGGCCAGTCCTGTAGGGACAGGAAAGCCAGAGGTGCAGGGATGCTCTAGGACTGTCCCTAAAGGGTGGTGGAGGGGGAGTGCTCTATGAAAACATGGCTCTCCACGGAAGGAAAAAAAAACAAAGAGTAGGCAGAGATCGTTATTGGTACTTGTACTGTCCTCATACTTGTCGTAAGTGACTTGCGATTATTCATTACTCTATTCTCCTGTTATTTCAGAGTCAAACCAGTTTTAGCTGCCTCAATTTCCCACCAGGAAACCAAAATTCAGAAAGGGTAAGTGGCCTAAAGTCCCAGATTGACTCCGAGGAAACGGATCAAGAAAATGAGCTTAAGCTTCCCAAATCCTAAAGTAGCAATTTAACAGCTGGAACATCTTTTCTCTGACATTTGATCTAGTCTTTTCTGGGCCATAATCTGAGGTCATGGGCCATTAAGCCCAGCATTATAGCACCAGGCAGTGATTTGAGGATGTACAGCAGCACCCTCTGAGATTTTTAAGCACACCAGAGCCTACCTGCATCTCCTGCTTTTCACAGTGATGTAGCAAGTTCAGGATGTGTGCTGTTGCTCCCCACACTCCCCTTGTCCGTATCTTTGTTGCTAATCTGCATTCCTCCCCTTATCAGCATTTGACAGGAGGCACAGCAAAGCTCTCCATGTCACATGTGTCCAAACATGTCCAACCCATACAGATGGGGAAGGAAAGGTTGGACTGGAAGAGCATTCAGACACACATATCTCTTTATCTCACAAACTGACAGGCGAACCCTCTCACATACCCTTAACTTCCTTGTTAGGCTGCAACTATTGCCAAACCATACCAGCCCAGATGGAGCAGCTAGGGATTCTAAACATACCCCTGGCAGATAAAGGGACATCTCTCTGAATAGGTGATTTGTCAGCCTTAAGCTGTAATTGCTCTGCACAGGTGTGCTCAAAGCAGGTGCATTTAGCCTTGGTAACAGGATAGCTCCTTCTACAGCCCTGTGTTCAATGGAGTGGGAGCCGGATGGGTAAAGAGGGAGCTCTCTGAGGGTGCCACACGCCACTCAATCATTCCCTCTAGGTCAAGCTTAATGAAGTATCATAAGCCAAGCCAGAGAATGAAAATTCATAGCTGCCTATCTTACACAGGCACAAATAAGTAGCTGAGAAAATGCTCTTACAGTCTTCTAAAACAAGACACTTGGCCATCTCTATAGAGCTAGGTTCAGTCCCAACCTTTAGCACAGATGTTCTGGGTTAACGTGAGCAACCTGTGCAGACTGCCCAGAAGAGCTCTGATGTGCTGCAGACCAGGGAGAAAAGCCCTGTTACTGCCATTGCCTGACCAGGTCCTGAAGGGGAGTCGGGAATCATTGCCTCAGGAAGCCTTATGGCCTCTTAATACATATCTAGTGATTAAAAATTAATAAATAAAAAGTAGCTATAATAACAATAGCTTTTTGTCAAGTTTGGATGATAAAGGAAAAAAAGCCTCTATTTTATTATAACTTACTGCCCTGTATTAAGTCATTTACACTTCTTTTAAAATAGCAATAGTAGCTCCTTTGACTAAAGTTCACAGTCTGAGGCTCCTGTATTAGTTTTCTATCCATGACAATTAACTTGATCTTCACTGTCTAAATGAGGAGCAATGAACAAAAGTGCCTACAGTTAAGCCCTGATATATCCTAGGGGAAACCGATGGCAAGGCCCTATGGCTGGCAAACCTCCTGATCCACCTCAGGCAACCACTCTGTCTGCTGTGTCTCTGGTGCAGAGCTGCAGATTTGCAAACAAGGGCTTTTTATTAATACACATTTATACTGGAACACAATCCTGTCCTTTTTTAAAAAAATCTAAGATTGCCTAGGAAACTAGAAGAAAAACAGCCAGGTAGAGAGCTCCCACTGTGCCAATGTCTTTCTATTTGTTTGAGATTGACTTTTATTATGGTGCCTTTGCCACTTATAGAAGTCCTTTTTCTGGAAGGTAGCTGGCTTTCAGGGACCTTAGTTGCATCTATGTTGATAAGTGCGTGGGACCGAAAATGGGCTCCTGCTTCCCTTCCTACGTGACATTACTACATGCAGCCCTCCAGGTGTCAGTATGTTTGTGCTTCTTCACTCGGCCTGGTTGAGCACAGCGTGAATAAGTTTTGCCTTTATCTCAACCATCTGCAGTTCAGAGGCGTGTTTTGTAATGGGGCTTGGCTGCCATCTGCTGTTTAAACGATTTGCAAGTGTTAGAAATAAGTAGGCATGCATGTGTATATTCATATTTAATAGAAAGCTCCTTCTCAACTCTTTAAAGCAAAGCACCATCTCCATGGAGGGAAGACAGTAGCAGAGCAGTTCACAAGACAGAAGAAACAATATGTATTTTGATCTTAAATGCATAACAAAATTGTGGCAAGTTTCACTTTGGTGCAGTTAGACATAGATCAGAGAGGATAAGTTTTCTGTCTAAAAAGAAAAAGTGAAACAAAATACAAACAAACAACAACAACAAAAAACAAACAACAAAACTCTTTGAAAATGGAGTTTGAGGTGAATAAGTAATATATTGCTCTGCTTTGGTTTAACATTATTATGATTGATCTGTTCTCTCCTTTCAGCTAAACGCCATTAAATGTTGCCATGTACCTTGTACAACCTCCAGAACATTCTTCTGACTTCTTATTTAAAATTTCTTATTCTCATGGTGACAACAACCTAGACAGACTTCATCAGTGAATCTTGCTCAAGAATCCAGTACAAACTGGACAAAAAAAACCTTGGTATGTCCAGCTGTACTTTTTGCTTCAGTTATACCTATGCTACAGTAATAAGCAATAATAAGACTCTGCTTTGGTCTCTGCAGTTAAAAAGCAGTGTTCTGTGATTAACCTGTTAATAAGTAGAGAAAAAATCTTGAACAAGGTATATACTTTCCTAATCATTTTTTAGGAAAACAGCTTTGACTCCTAAAGAAAAGCACAATGAAGCTTTTAAAGTAAAATCATAATCCATAAGATTTATCAGTATCATCAGAAAGATCCCTATTTTATCAGAGGATGATGTTCCAATCTATTCTTATCAATAACCTTATTAACTATGATAAATAATTAATACATATACAATTATCAGCCATTGATTCAACTTTTTTTTTTTTAAATGAGAAATAGATATTTTTTTTTTTTTACTTACCTGAGAAATGTCTGGAGTGAACTCTTCTTTTACAATGGCATTTTTTAATCTGCTCTGGATCTTGTACATCACTGTGACAGGCTTTACAATAGAACTGTGCCCTACAAAACAAAAGCTAGTTCAGTAAAAGTTGAATTATGTTTAACTGATCAGACAATAAATGCACTCATCTGCTCTTGAAAGTTTTTATATTTTAGACCTTTTCTTCAAGAAAACAGTAATAGAGAATCTTACTTTTTGACTTCTGCAAGGGAATGAGCAATAAAAAATCCCATGGTATTCCGATGAAGTTTTATCCTTGAAGATGGATTGATCAGGATAGTGCTGTATTGGGAAAACATCGAGAGAGTAATCACAGTTTGTCTATTAGGTGACATTTCTCACCTGTCTTGTAAGAATTCAGACTACATGATTGTAACAGTTCCCTCCCACCTCAAAATTTTACATTAATCCCCTTTGTTATAACTTCTATGACCTATGAGAGAGACTGGAGACATGAAGAAAGTTAACTGCTGCATTTTCAATGACATAAAGATAATTTTCCATGGAAACAGGTGGGGGAGCTGTGTGAGAACAGGGATTCAAACCACCCAAATCCTTTTGTTAGTATTTTTGCAGTTTATTCAATTCAGAGATTCTTGATTGGTGTTTGTTTTTTAATTGATGTTTTAATTTGATAAATTTTAAACTTCATAGGAAACAGGTACTCTGTTTTCCACCACATTGTTTTGAAAATGTTTAATGTAATAAAACCATTAACAGTCTACTGCAGCCTGAATGGGCCAGGTATTTCCATTTCTCCATGGAGTCACTGAAGAACCTAAATACTCACAGTTAAAATACAAGAGCAGTGTAACTGAAGCTACAGAGATTTGCAGGGTTTGATGCATCTGCTCTAGAGCTGAACAAGCAAGGTATAAACAGGGGAGGAAACTTTCTTTCCTAATGGATCCCCTTTCTACATCCAGGGTGAATATCCCTGCCGGGCTGCTGCAAAAATACCTATGTTGAATCCCCTGCAACATCATTAAATTTGCCAGTTTTCTCTATGTAGACAACTCAAGGCACCAGTTCAGTCCAAACTCCTATTGCCTTCAACCCAGTTTTAATAAATATTGGCAGTGTGAATGGAACAGGGAAAGGTGACACGGTTGTTAACAATTCCCTTTCCTGTGAAGTCCTCAGCTCCTCCAGATTTGTGTCTCAAGGGACAAACAAAATATGAATTATGAGAAACATTAAGCACTACAATTATATGTAGATAACATAAATATTGTAGCAACATTGAGATGTTCCCATTTTAGAAGAAGCATCCTTTCTAGGCCAACTTAAAGAAAGCAAAAATACAGTCTCTATCTCACAGAGCATGCAGTTTCCTTTTCCCTCTTGTATTTACTTTGCATCGTTCTATTATCATCCTGACAACGTATGAACTCAAGGAACAATAGATTTGTAGTGGCCTGTTTTCCATTAGTGCTAAACAACTACAACATGCACTGACTTCTTTCAGGGTAGGGTTCATTCAGCACTTTCGGAAGAGAACCCCTACGTATTCCTCACAGCAGCGTTTCCCCACACTCCTTTGTTTTTGGAGCTGCTATTCTAGTTTGGTCAAGACAGCCATTTCCTTTATAAAAGTGGAAAGAGTAATAATTGCACTCAATAGTCTGCATTTTCTGGATGATTTCTCAAGCTTTTTAAAGATCTATGGCACTCATTTATTCCCCTTTCTGAACTAGTTCCAGCTTCCCCATTAGGATGTCTTGTATTTCATCATTAGAACAGACAGAGAGTGTTATCTGGCCCAGGACCAGATCAGCTTCAGACAGCAAAAGCTCTGCTGCCAGCATTGACAAATTATCCCTTTATGACAATGCTTTTTAGCATTTAGGAGCTAAACTCATGTGGTTAAAAAAAGGCAGCGTTTCCATTACCAATGAAAATAAATATGTTTGATTTGCCCCAAATCAAAGCAAGATCTATGCTGCCTTTTTGTGGAATGGAAGGTGAGAACGGTGGCCCATCCTCCATCCCTTGCTTGATTATCTGTGAGAAGAAAGGAGGCAGAAAAGATTGTTGTGTATGGTAAAATTCACTCTGGCACTTAAGCAACCAGGAATAACATCTTGATCCTGTCTCCTAAATACTGTGCATAGGAAAACAAGAGGTATATAAAATCTGCAGATCCGGGGGCAAATCTGAGTTATTTGGATATAATTAGTTTCGAACTAATTGACTTCTTACTAAAAGAGAAGTCTTACAGACAATTACCTCTCTCCTCGACTGCCAAATTTGAGTTCAACTCCCAAGAGGACAAGATTTAGTTTTACAAAGCACAACCTGGAGAAAGAGAGCAAGTCAGTCACAGTATCTGTTCTGTGGACAGACATCTGGAAGGAAATAGCAGAAAAAAATCCACATCTGTACCACATACCGACAAACCTCTATAAAAGTCATGTCTGCAAAATCGTTGGAGAGCTGAAAAGTCATTACTTTGTAGTCTTTGTCTCCCAGAAGCGTCTTGTCCTTCAGATATTTTCTCTTTGTCTAAAAGCATCAAGCATAAAGATGATAAATCTATTCAAAGGCAAAGCAAGTAGGATGTGTAACCAAACACTGGGAAAATACTCTAACACCACATGATATTAGTTACTGAAAGTAGAATGACTTCAGATATATGTTGTCAGAGACAATATCAGAGTTGAAAAACATCAGACCAGGGAATGTCTTAACTCTCCTGGACACTTCCAAGTCATTATCATTGAAGAACAGGTATCATTACTGCAAGAAATTATGTTACATGGAAATTTTATGACTGCAAAGTACTGGGAGTCCATTATTTGAGGAAAGTTAGGGCTTAATTGCAGTACGATTAACCTGTCTCCCTAGTTTGGTCTTGTGTTAAGTTTTATAAATCATAAATATAGGAGAGGTGAGATTATTGTTGAACAGAGATGGTCTGCTCCATTATAAACACTTTTTGGGGTATGGGTGTTTTGCTATTGTAGGTGTTTTTCTTTTTTTTTTTTTGATTTATTGTTGTTGTTTTTTAAAAATTAGCTATGTGACTAAGGGAGGGTTGTTTGTATCCAGGTAGTTTAAGCAGAAAAACATTTTGCTGCTTACAGCTGGCTCTGGTTTTATACTGCTACTCATTACCTCACAGTATATACCATTCTCTTGGCATATGAATGCCTTCCACACAAAACTTAATAGGCTGTTAAAATGTGTAAAAAAGTTTTGCTTTCCAAACAAAAATTATTTAATTAAATTTTTAATTGAAAAAAGCCTCCTGTCAAAAAGTTGCTGAGTTTTCATAGTATGCTTTAAAAGACTTAAAATATCAGTGTTGCTAGCTTTTTCAGGTCTCAGTGAAACATTTGGACTTGAATGAAACATCTTGCCTATGCAAAAACATTGTCTGTAAAGTAGCCCCAGTTCTATATAAAACTTCTGTATTCGTTTCACCTGATATCTATATAGTTTGCCTAAATCAATTTGGGAACGGCCCCTGAATATAGAAAAAGCAATCAAATATATATATATATATATATATATATATATATATATATATATTTGTGCTGGAGATTAGTGTGAAGTATCACATACAGCCACTAGGTGATAGCAAAAGCACATTCACAGCAGTACTAGCAAATCTGTGACTTGTTCAGGCAACTACATACCAAACAGTTCCATCTTCTTGTTTTTATTCCATCCTCTGGTATTAATGTGGAAATTTCTGAGCAACTTTTATGTACCATAAATTTAATATACAGCTTATCATTTTTGTGTTGTAGTAGGTAATGAAAATAAATGTAAAAGGAGGAAAAATTTGGATCACCTCCCCTGCAGACAGATGACAGAATTTCTAATTGTCAGTTCAGTTTGTTACAGTCTGTTGAGACCCTAAGCAAGACTGAAGCAATTCAGAAACCTCTGACTGTTCTTGTGTAAATTACCCCATAAGAACCAACCAAAGAAACTGTTAAGCCTAAAATGATACTGAAGAAAGGCATCCTATTAACTGGAAAGGGTATGCTGGACTGATTTTTCAGCCCATTTTGGGGGGCATCAAGCAGGAATGATTCTGATGAAGTGCTTTAAGCAGAGATTCAATTTACAAATGCCACACAATGGGATCATGTGCAGAAGTCAGATAAGCTAACACGCTCCACACTGTGCAGTAACCAAAATTGATTTACTGAGTTCTCTCAGGGTAGTGGAGCACTAGCACCACATTACAGCTTTTGAAAATAGAGCAACACACAAGGAGTTTCCATAGGTCACCTAAACACAGCAGCATGGCTTGCTGTGCAATGTCCTTTGCCTTGGCACCTACTTGCAAACTCAATTGTAAAATATTTCTTTAGGCTCTTCTGCCTCAGCATGTTCTAGAGCATTCCTTTCACCTCTTGTGCTGAATTCAAGTATCATATTAGAAATAGCTTCTTAGGTTCTCTTGCCTTCTGTGCCAAGCCAAATCCTAATGTAAGATTAATTTCAAAAGACCTGGCTGCAGTTTCTACTCAAGAGTCAGGCACCTATTTCAGAGAAGATCTCACTGGGCTATATTTACATTATTCAGATAAGCAATGGACATACCTCAGTGTTCTCTTTCCCAATGAACAAACTGGTTAGGAGAGTAGACAAACCAGGAACTAGGCAACTTTGTGCTATAAAGCCTAACTTCAATTCAGCAAGACAGATGATATTGTCTCCCCTCCTACAGTCCCAGTTGGGTATGTTCGGCAGGTGAACCTGTTTCAGAGTAGGAAAGTGATTACAGGTCAGCATAGAGAAAGGAAACGCCATGATGTTTGTATAACATGATGATTCTTGTCTTTCTTGCCTTCATCATTCTATTGTTTGAAAATCTTCACTGGAATACACTAATAGATAGCTAAGCAGACTTCTGAGTTTGAATGTTCTTTTGGTTTTGTTTTTCCTTTAAATGTTTAATATGCATTTGCTGACAACTTTGACAAAAACAAAAAGCTGTTACTTATTTTTAGTAATGTTAAAAGATATTCTAGCTAGGTTAGTACCTGGATGAGTAAGAGACACTGCATAAAACCTCTGCTTCCTACAAAGGAAGGATCTTTGATTCCAAAAAGGCCAGAATTTCAACTGTGACAACCCACCGGAGACAGACAGACAACTGTGATACCTTGTTACGAGACTGAATTATCTGTAAAATGACTCTGGTGTTGGGGTAGTGATTCTTGATTGACAGCACTCTGTATGAAAGATACAATTTCTGATTAATATGCTTGGTTCTAACTACAGTCTCTCTTTTTTCAAGTCCAGCTAGCTTACTCTGGCAGACAGCAATTTGAGAGTGGTAACAAAGAATGGCATATGACCCAAAGCCTGTACCTGAGCTCCTCTACACTTGAGCCATATCCAAGTCCACTGTTTGGAGAGAAAAGCAGTCACCATCAAAAGATTGTAAGATAATAGAATGTGGCTTTGATACAGGATGAAGAATCGTACCTGTACCCTACTACAACTTTAGAGCTAAGAGAGAGAACAATAATTATTATTTGCTTTGAAAATTCTACCTGTAAATTCCATTCATTCACTACAGTCTTCAGTAGGCATTCTACAAATAGAAGGTGAGGATAATCCAGTTTGGAACTTGAACTTCTGTATTGATTTGGGTGGAGAATACCATGCCAAGCCATCACATTCACACAATCCAGCAGTACTGAGAGTCCCCAGTTCAAGTCAGACCAATACAAAAATGCTTAGAATATGAGACCTGACAGCCAAGCTGAACCAGACAGTAGTGCTTAATTCTCTCCCGTGTAAAACACAGAGACTCTGACTGCTGATATTCAGGACAGTAAAGAAAATAATTACAATGTATTTAACAACATTATATTCTGTAGAGAGCTGCAAGGCTGCACAGCTGCTACCTGTCTCAGTCCTTCAAAGCATCTGATAAAATTATGGCAGAAAGCAGTCAGTTGGCTTTCAGAGTTCTCCTGAAAGAAAAAACGTGACAGGACAAATATGCTCCCCTGCCAGCTGCACTATCTGTGTCACTGTTAATATCAATCAGATAAAGAACGAAAGCACTGGAGTATCTCATCCTACCTCATGATATTGCAAGTATCTTCAGTATAGGGCTGTGGAGAGCAAACATCTGCTAGAATGAGACAAGCGTTTGCAGACTCCATCTGTATCCCAGGAGAAGAAAAGTTAAATCCGAGTTTAATCCCATATGAAGTACAACAATCTCTAATAGTGAGCTGATTTAGTGGCATATGTCTTTAGTTAAAAACTTGCATAAGGTCATCACGATCCTGTTACTTTGGAGTTGTACACATGCCTGAATGTTTCAGCAATGACACAGCTCCAATCAAACATACAGTACGTAATTCATATTTCTATTTTCAACGTGCTGGAACCCACTAAATTTATGATTTCTTGAGCTAACATCTTCCTAGAAGAGGTTACAAAAAAACCAGGCATCAGTGCTATAATCTTCCCCAGCAAAGTCCAGCCAAAGCACTTTTCAAGGGTCAACACTTGGTCATGTCAGAAAAGCTCTGTCTCTGCCATCCAATTAATATTTGGGCAGCACAGTGAAGTTGTTAACAAAAAAAAATAGTTTCATTTATGGTACAGTTTTTATAGTCTTCTGGGAACTGGATGGAGATCTACCAAAGCATTTCAAACATGATACTAACAAGCAGAAACCTCAGTAGAGTTAAAGCCAATGGTGTTTTTCATTTTATTTTGTTTTTCCTTTAATTCGGGTCCATTCCTTTTGTTGCTACTGGAATATTTTACTGAGTCCTCAGTATTTCAAAATACAAGGTTTAGGTCTCTTCTTTCCTGGATGCTCATGAATGAGACTCAAACACAATGCATGCCTGAAAGAAAGGTAACTAAGGGCTATTTCAATAAGTTAAACACTATTTCCAGAAATGCTGCTCCCCACAATATTCCTCTTTTAAAACCAGTTGGATCAGTCTTTGCCCTTTTTTTTCCTGCTTCAGTGCTTGAAAAAAGTAGTCTGAAAAGTCTGTTATGACTGACTTTTGCATTTTCAGTTCCCACGAGTGTTATATTGGTATGCAAAAGGTACCAATAAAATAAATGGAGCTGCTTGAAGTGTAAATCACAACATGAATTAAGTAAATGCAGCTGATGTATCCTTTCATAAGGCATGAGATTTTCACAAGATTGACTTATCTACAAGAAAGAGCAAAAGATAACTAAGTTCTTACCCCAACTCTCTTCAGATCTCCAGACTTTAGTGCAGAGCCATAAAAGAAAGTTGTGTAGGCTGAATAGCATTTGAATACAGCTTCCAGCTCAAGACTAGGAAGAGACCTATTCAGTATAAACAAGAAGAAAAAAAAAATCCATCAATCTCTCATAATTATATTCTCTGCAATTCTCCGTTTCTCAGTGAAGCTATTTGCTGTAACTACTTACAGCTTAAAAAAAGAGCTACAGGGATTTTGGCAGCTCAACTAAAGTACATAGTTTAGATTTTAATGAAAACAAGCTTTTATAACACTTAACAGCCATGGAAATGTTTCCTGGATTTTTCCTGTCTTCTGCTATTGTCGTTAATTTTTCATGAGTGTCATTCCACAACCATCCATGCGACTGTAATTCTACAGCTCACTGTTGCTCCACAAGAGTCAGGAAGTGACACTTCCTATGGCTTCATTCTGTGTTCCCTGTTCAAATGGAACTGATGAACTTCAACTTTCTCTCCACTGTTATTTTTCTATCCAACATACATAAACTATATTTCACCCAGTAACTTATGTAACATTTTCTTCTAAACTGGATTATAAAACTCACGTAAAGGTATTCGTACACTGACCTCAGCAACAAAGCATGCTCTGAAGGAAGGTACAGGTATTGCTGACTTAAAGACATGAAAAATCCACCTATTCTCTAAACGGTTTGTTTCAGTGATTATTAATCACTTTTCACTCTTGAAAATGCATGCCTTTTTTCTTACTTGAGTTTGCTTAGTTTTGAACTCTAATCATTAGTTTTTATTATGCCTCTCTCTTCTAGATTAAAGAAGATTCTTATACTAGCTGTGAAGCTACTTAGGCACTTTAATCAAACCAACTCCCTATCTATTTTCCATTACACTGAATGGACTGAACTCTACATCTCTTCCTCTGAAGCACTTTTTCCTGTCTGTGAACCATTCTTGTACTTAATTTCCATGCATCCGCAATTCAACAGCTCTTTCAAAATGTCATGGTATTTCAGAAGAGATGCCTATAATATTCTGCTCCACTCTTGCCCTACCTCCACTGCATTCCAACGTAAAATCCTGTTTGTGCTCCCAGCAATCACCTCTCTCTGTGGCTTCTGTTTTCAGGAACATATCTCATAGCTTCAGCTAGGTACAAGGGCTTCTGATAGGAGATTGTTTACATGCCTGATGTACTTGGCATAGAAAAGTGGTTTCACTTGCCTTCCTTTGCTATACACTGGTGTGACCAAGTGCAAGTTATAAATTTTCTCCTCCCCAAGATGAAAAAATGCGTAAGAAAGTGAGAAAGAAGTCAATTATTTGATCTCCAGATTTGGCAAGACTTAAAGTTGGGTATACCTGGCAATGCTAGCTTACTATACAATTTAGAGGGAAACATATATATTTATTTTATTTTATTTTTACTTTTTAATTGATCACAGAAGAAAACATTTTATCACTAACATTCCAGCATAAAAGCTTCATTGCTCTAATTTGTTTTGGAACTCACATTAATCAGGTGCACAATATTGCTTTCCTTTAGTTTAAGACCTCCTACATCTCTCTAAGTGTTCAGGAAATCAAAGTGAAATATCTCAGAGAAATAAGAATACTTACTCTCCCAGAAAAAGGATTTCTGTGCAAACCTTTCCTGTGTCCTGAAGCAAAAAGTCTTGTAGGAAAGTAGTAACGCTCTCCAGAGTGATATTACCACAGACAACGACATAGCTACAGGAAGAGATCAAGTAAGATTTGACACTTTGAAAATAGCAGAGTGGTTGTTGCAAATCTGACATTGTATGACACAATCTGCTTGTACTAAACCCAGCAATGAAGAAAAAAAGATAGTTTTTGTCTCTGTTTTGATAGAAATTTCACCCATCATGGACATGTACTTCAGGAATTATTTTGGAAAGGAAGAGAAACTGTGTTAGGAAGCAGTGAATGGCACAAATTCCCAGTGTAAAGACTCACAGAAAGAACTTTATAATATCTCCTAGAAATTGTACTAATCTGTCTTGTTCTATGAGTGGTGGAGGAAAAGAAATAATAATAATGAAATAAAAATTAAAAAAAAAAAAACAAACTACCAAAACACCACCACACCACCAAAAAAACACTAATGAGGTAGGCTAACTTAAAGATTGAAGAGACTTCTTGTGTCACCTAGCTTTTCTCTTCCTTTGAAAACAAAACCCATGCCGAAGAGTGCTGTTGACAAGGTTTATTCAGTCTCTCTTGAGTTAAGGATCAAACAAAAGTAAGTTTCAGGATTTGATTTAAGCTACTACAGGAATTTCTTATGAGCTGGTTTACAGCCTAGTAACTGACCTGATTTTTATTTTCCAAAGACAAATAGCAACCATACTTACTTCTTCCCACTCACCACTTCATAGGAAGATTTGTAACTTTTATGGCTTTCAACAATTTCCACAACTTCAGGGATTATGTTTGCAAACAGGACCTAAGACACCAAGAAATACAATCTTCCTCAGAGCCAATTCTGTCTCTCCTAATCATGATAAATTAATTTGTAAGAATTTAAATTATGTGGAACAACTACTACAATTTACTTTGGATTCCTGAAAAATCACTGGCAAGGATGCACAGCTGTATGATGTAGTGATAATGGATTTATGCTGTTGATACCTTGGATTCATTTTGTCCAGTATTTTGGCTCTTGCCAGTATTTGCAGTCTCAGGAAGAAATATTAGAAGCCCTGCCAGGTCTTAGAAGAAAAAATTACTCTATAGCCATGCCAGTAAGTACTTAATGTTAAAGCTCTGTTTTTGCTCATAGATTCCTAATCCCTACTGGAACCCTGCTAAGCTCACATTTTTGGTGACAATCCTGTTCACTCTCTGTCCCTAGATGTCATTTCCAGAAAAGAAAAATAGGTTTCTTACCAAGCCACCAATAATGAAGAAAATAATGAAGGTTCGACCCAAGGCTGTTTGAACGACAATATCACCATAACCAACAGTGGACATTGTCACCATTACTAGGTACATGCACTTCAAATAGGTGATGGACTGTGAATTTGGAGGCTGGACCCAAGGATCTCCATTGTTTTCTATCTGTCCAGGACACAGGAAAGAGAAGAGAGAGAAGTTTAGAGTGGTTTTGCTTTCAGTTCATCCCCAATTTATAATTATTTGATTAAAAAATTGGCATCATTTTCATTATTGTACAAGTGACACATCACCACAGCAGGGATTGGTTTTTTATCAGTGCTAACTTGTCTTGTTAAGTATGCAATTAAGCTATACTGGCTTAAGTCATGCTTTGTGGTACAACAAATTTGTTCTCTCTCTCTCTCTTTTTCTCCTAAGAGAATGCTGCATTCATTATAAAAATATATACCCAAAGCTCACAAGGTAATAGTGATTTAAGGTGACAAGGAAGGACATGTAGCTGATTGTACATACCAAGTGAATAAATCCTGCAGCTGTAAGCCAGGTACCAATAAATACAGCAAAGAGTTTGGAGAGCTTGATTGAGTAACTGGAGATAGAAAGTGAAAAAAAGCCCAGGACATTTAATACGTAACGTTAACATTTGCAATAGTTAAAATTTCCTATATGACCCCATCTCTGTTCAACAAAACTTTTCTCTAGTGAGTTATATTATATAGGAAGGATTTAGGATTAGAAAAATCTTCCTACATCCAGCCTTTCTATCACAGGCAGCATGTCAGATAATCCCATTTTTTACATTTATCAGTCTTCAAAACCTTTAAGACTTCTTGATTTATGATTTCCCTCCTCCCCCAGACAGTTTCACTGAGCTGATGGTTATACTTTTTTTTCCTTTGCACAATTTCCAGTGCAACATCACTGATAGCTTTTTTTTCCCATATGCAATACCATTTCTTTCCTTTTATTACCTGAGTCAACCAAAATACAGGTATTGAGGAGAAGGTTAGGCTTGTAAGTGTACCTGACAAGAGTTTAACTCACTTGTTCTTTGTGACCCTCAGGAACTGTAGTATTCGGGGAAGCTCCAACAACCTAAGCGCTCTCAAAAAACGCAAACCTGCAGAAAAGCAAGAATGTCAATGAAAAAATAAGAGATCTGCCTGGAAGTTCAGATATTCAGATATGTTTAAGCATGCATGCTTTGTTTTCCACTTATTTTACAACTTCGAACCTAGCAAGAGAGGATAACACTGATCTGCATTCAGAGCCTTTATGCCACTAGATTTCCATTTAAGTCCTCAAAGGTGCTTTGATTTATTAAACAAAATATAATAAAAAAAAATGTAGTTTCTTTGAGCTGTAGCCTGAAGGTTTAAGTGACGTACAGGTCCCACTGGAGTACAGACCCCAGAGCATGCAAGGAAGACATTCACAAAATTCGGGGTGCCATATTTACTTCTCCTCTGGGTAGCTCATCATCCAGTTGGTCAAGCACAATGATTTTTGAGTTACTAAAACTCTCCCTAAAAAAATAGAACTATCCCTACTAATGGATAAACAAAACAGGCAGAGTTTGGTAACTCACAAATCCCTCAACATTAAAGGCATTTTAAAACGAATATGGAATAATTTTTCTCCCAAAGAACAGTTTGGAACAATGGAAGAACAGATGGTCAGTTAAAGTCTCCCCACATCAAAACAATTTCAGAAGAATTCTCAACATAAGATGTAGAACAACAAGGATGGAAAGCAGGATCTCCAAGTCTTACTTACCAAGCCAATTTCTGTCTATATAATAGGAAACAAAAACTGGAGGGATCGTGAAGAAATCCACAAGAGAATTCAGCTCAAGCCAGAACCTCAGCTTGTCATCTGCTGCCACAAACTAAAGATGAATAACATCAAAGAGCATCAGTGGTGTGTATGATCTTTGGCCTCACCAGAGCAAGAAGGCAGCTCTCTCTGAGAAAGAAACCCATTTTCGTAGTACATTTCCTCCTCTGTGGTTCTGCCCTCTGTGAAAACCCACTTAACATTCCTGTTTTGTTTCAGAAAGGCTTGGTCTGGAGCCCTGAGAACACAACAATGGGTTGGACCCAAAGGTATAATGACACTTTCTTTTTCTCTTTCTTATCTGCCCCTTTCATTTTTTTATTTTTTCCCCTAGGGTGCCCTTCTCTGTGGTACTGCTGTATCAGCAATAATAAATCATAAACCTAAGGACAGGCAAGACCACATCCTCACCTATAAATGGGGAAATCTTGTTTTCTAATGATTTGGCCAAAAAATCTAATGTCAAAAGCTACAATCAAAATCTATTTCACACCAGTGGAAATAATGGCATTTTAACAACAGATGGCACACAGCTATCCAGTTTGTTCACGAGAAGCTGAAGAGAGACCTGACTAGTTGATTCAGTGTCTTAAAGACATGGACAAAGACAAGACTAATGTGTGAGCTGGGAAATGCTGCAGAAATGCTGGAAAAAGCCAAACTCCAAAGGGAGAAAATAATTACAAGTAAAAGTGGAAAAAACAAACAAAAAAAACCGTGGGTGGCTCTGAATTAAGCTAACACAATCAAGCATTATGTTACAGAGCACCTGTTGTTCACACAGGTAAACTGCTCCCATATATAGCTCAGTTTTAACTCACCTTTCCCATAATGCGCACTTACCCGTAATCCAAAGTAAAAGAGGAAGAAAGCATTGAAGCCTGTGTCTACATAAATGATGCTGTCTGGAAAGGAGATCTGGTATCCTTCTTCTCTAATGGGAAAACAGACATCACAGACAGTGGAAAAAAGGGTGAAAATAAGAAAAAAAACAACAGTAGATTGGCTATCCAGTGACATTTGGTTTGGGTTTATATTTTGATTATGAAATACGTAAAGCAGAATTTAAATGTATTCACAATTTTGTGTAATTTAAATCTCTACTTCCTCAGTGAGTTAGGCAGAATAAATGAATGTTAATAGCAGGGTTTTGTTAGCATTAGTGAGCATATTAAAACATGACATTATTTATCTCTCATGCAAATATACTGGAAAGTTTGGTTTTCATATATTTATAGTGTTTAAGCAAATCCTTCTGCTCATTTCTTCAGGAAAACTGTTTCACCCTTCTCATGTGGACCAGCAGACTCTTCTATATTCAGCTTAGTCAGTAGAAAAGACAGCTCCTGCAGTGCTCACCCAGCCCCTGCTGAACCCGGCCTTCCATCTGCCAAGGGAGCAGTTTAAGCACGAAGTGGTTTCCAGACGAGCCTGCCAGGTTGGGCTGTAACACCAATTTAAGTTTTCTAGGCCAGACTCGCTGACCTTGCATGAAACAGGCCTACAGGGTGCTCAAACTGCACGAGTGCAGGTGGTGAAATCTGGCAGCGTAGAGCTGAGGGAATAAGCTTTTCCCACGGGTACCACCTGGTCCAGGAAAGGATGTTTGACACTGGCTCAAGAGATTACAGAGCATAAGAGATACAGAGCATACCTCACACTCACTCGCTGACATATTGCCTACAGCAGGTGACAGCAAGCTAGGTACGTCAATTATGAGCCATCTGACACCTCTTCCTGCTCCGTGCAGGGAATGTTTTGAAAACAGAAACACAATTAAGTAAACTAGTCCCATAGGTCAGTGCAGGTGAACATCTACTCTCACCTACAGGTGTAATGCTATTCATAGAAAGAACTCTGTGTGAATAGGATTAACTGCCTGTTTATTCCTTAAAAAAGAAACTCTTTCCCTTCTGAAGCTATTCCTAGCTGTTTGTCAGATTTATAATGCCTTGGGATTGAACACAATATTGGATTGCTCTTGATGTATAATTCTGTTTCTCAGGTTTACCCCTGCTGATTGAATTCAGTTCAAAGTGCTCCACATCTGTTATATTTTATTTATTTCATTTTATGGTTCCATTTTATTTTTCGAGTGTTGTGCACCAGTCCAAGCAAAGCACTGAGAACAATGCTCTGGCATATTAAATCAATCAAAGGGTTTTACATATTAATATCTTTTTACCCCTGAGCACATTCTACAAAATGTATGTATTCGGGTGAAGATTGGTAGAGTCTATAACTATGCTTTCTTACTCAGTCGTATTTTACTCCCATCAAATTGTTTACTGAAGGCTGGACTTCAGAGAAGAGCTCCATTCCCATTTAGGTATCAAAAATAAATGGCCAGACTTTCAAAAGAGCTTCGGGTAGTGGGTGGTGAGCTTTGTTAAAAGCCTAGGACTCTCTAAACATTGCAATAGGAAGAAAGAACCAGGCTTTGAGTGCCTTTGAAAATGCCTGTATCAAAACGGACCATTTTCAAAACCTGTTTCCAGCTGCAGAACTTGGACACCTATCCCTTAGTTCTTCTGAAAATCTGGACTTGAAGGTATAAACACAAATAATTACATACACCAAAAAAAACTGCAATAGAAAGGTACAAAGCCCAAATTTTCCTTTCTGTCTGCATTATGTAGTTCCATGCACTACTCAGGTAGCTGTTATCATGCAGTTATGCCCAAGGTATGCTCTTCTATTATCTGTAGTCCCCGTAAAGTATTAGGATCTTAAAGAAATGGAGAAGAAGGTACCCGAGATCCCAAAGAGCTCAAAGGGGCCTGTCATATAACAGCACCCATTGGCTCCTCTGTCTAATAGCTGTGTGAAAAAACATCAGTAATCTACTTACTCAGCAAGATTGACAAAATAAATGATGAGTGAGCCAATATTCAGAAGAAACACCAGTATCACCTGAAAACACATGCATTAAGGAGATGTTATGAGGTTTACTATGGCAGTAACACAGCTTTCATCTGTAACACCACTTTTGCTGTTTGTCTGCCCAGGTGATAAACTCCTCTTTCACTTGCAACCACCAAACTGTGATGTACAAAATGATGCTCGGACAAAAAAAAAGCTGTCAACTTCTACTGACACATTTAATTGGTGGTCACTTGCCATAGCACTGAAGGAACCCAGGCACAACTGTGATGGATTTTCTGCTCTGTGCAATCTAGATTACGTCTTTTGATCAACTTTTCTGTGTTCCCAGTGTCACTCTGATAACCCAGAAAATAGAGATTGTATAGCCATATCTAGAGAGACATCAGATAGTGAGTCTCTGACAATTTTTTTTTATCACTTTTGATCTACTTAGGAGGACTTTCTGAAGCATTTTCCCAGGCTAAACACATTTGTATTAGGAAAAAGTGTGAACTAGATCATGTAAACTGCTAAACCTGACAAACTTGTGTTTTCACTTGATGTTCTCAGAAGAACAAATATGGCTCAATACCTGCGTATCAGAAGAGGAAACCTGAGTTAACCAGTCTACTTACCAATACACACCCCATAGATGTTTGAGCTGATAGCATCATTTCCACGTGGGTGAAGAAGACTCTTACCAAGTAGACTGAACTCTGTTTCCTTTTACGTAGCCACCAGACATCTTTGTCCTGACAGAGAAGCAAATAGATTGTTATCCTTGGCTTTGCCAGACACTGTTTCCCAGGATGTCTAAAGCAAACACATCCAGCCACCAGCATATCTGAATGGTGATTGAAAGCAAGGGAGGCATAGAGTATGTCTTCCTTCTGCTAAGCTACTAAAATCTTCAGAATGCCTTATCCTCCTGGAATTCACTGAGGGTTTGCTGTGCAGACATGCACTGTTATCTTCCCTCCAAAATGCAGTATCATTTTCTTTATTAGTTGCATCGATGAATGTTGATTCTCATCACCTTGAAGTGATTGCCTCATAATCTGCAACTGAACAGAAGTGTGCACTGTTGCTAAAAATGCCTCTCTACTTGTCCCCCCACCCCTTCCCATCTTACACCAGTAGCGAATTAACTCATTTACTTGGTTTGATCATTTATAACACTTCCCTTGTACAGCTTCAGCTAATTCTGAGTAGCTTTTGCTACGAAAACAATTCTGTCCTTCCTGCAGATACAGTTATTAATAACTGTAACAAATAGCTAACAGGGATTAGATGACAGAAAATCTGTAAACATCTACCAGTGAAAAAAAAACAACACTGTAATGGGAGATACCATGTTGTGTGTCCCCCCCTCCTATTTTATACTCAGTTTCCTAGGCACCAGAGCCTGTAAAGAGCTAACACTTAAGAACAAAACCCCACCTCTGCTCCAGCAGCCAAGAGAACAACAGAGTGAGGTTAATTTAACATTTTGGCACGCAGAGATGCCTACTGCTTGCCAGCAGCACAGGTGTTCCTTCATTTTTCTCCCACACAACCCAGGTGAGCTTATGAGAATGTCAAGGCCTCCCTTGGAAGTGATGGAGTGAAATGGCCTGTGACAGTTGTTGGAGGCAACATGAAGTGACACAAGGAAAAAGCTCTTCAGTCCTGCAAATTACATTGTAACCCGCTGAATAAGTGACCTGGATGTGTCATATGAACCTCCTGGTGTTATCCTTGGGAGCTACTTATTCCTTCTCAAAACTTCTGTAATACACACACGGAGGACTGGGACAAAAGATCTGGTGGTGGATTATTTTCACTATGCTTAATCCCATCCTTTGTCCAGACCGTGCGAAAACATCTATCCCAAAATATTGAAAAATAGCTTCCCACAGTAATTTTTGCGATACTTTCAGTATACAGAATGTGGAATTATGGTACTGAGAGATGGCTTGACCACGTACATATGCTCCTCATTCCTGCTATCAGCTCTGGCTTAGTGTTTAAAAATGTACATGAACAAGACACTGTGTGTTTGCATATACAAACCTGTGTGTTTAAGGATCAGGGGTTGTATGAAAATGTGGATAATTGTGATCATTATTGAAAAGGCAAGCATTATAGTGCTCCTCTGTGTGGCTGTATTTATCTACATGCACATGTAGGTGCTGAGGTTTCCGTGTGTATGTTTGTGCAACTACTAATATTCACACTGGTAAAAACTATCTTGTTCCATTCTCTTAAAAAGGGAAAGACAGTAGCATCCAAAAGCACTATCCTGTTCATCATCTTGATGACAAAAGCTGTACCTCTGGGTTTTCCCAAGCCCAGCTCTCTCTGAATATACCATGTTTAGTGCATTATGACAGAAGATACAATGTTTCTAAATCAGGACTCAGATCAGTATCAAATGTAATTTCTGCATTATGAAATCAACACACATAACATGAGCTATTTCAAAAAGATTTTGCCTTTACCTTTTTCCTCCCAGTTTGCTCAAGGATGAATCCATACATGTATCTGGCCAACCTGAAAGCCAGAATGGTAAACAGGCCTCCCAAAAATACAAACAAAGATGGTGTAATAAAAGCCAACTGAAATTTCAGTGTAGAGGTGATGTCAGATTCCTGTGTCATGTTGTGAACCACTTTGCTCTGCCTTTTTCCTCCTCAGGTTCCTTGACTGCTGGGTCAAGGAACCTTCTAGAACCCTGCTGCTCTTGTGACTGCAGCGACCTCAGTGTCAGTGCAGCATCACACAGGCACTGGTCAGGCTGACAGCACAGGATACTGGAGACGCTTCCCTTCACAATGGAAGCGTTTGAATGGGGATTCCAATTTAGAATTGTATCTGTGTAGTGATATTACCAAGGTACTTGTTCCTTCTGGAAAATCTCTGTTTATAAAGCTGGCTCTCACACAGACTCACTGTATAAACATAAGTTGCTTATCCAGACCTGTGAAGTCTCACACATGGCACTCAAGACATCCATTCAGACCCCACTTCACGCTTCCTTTCAAGAGCTGCAAGATACACATACTGCAGTTCTCCCCTGGGAATTTCCATTCCACTTTTGGATCGAGTCTTACCTCTGCTCAAAAACAAATACAAGCAAGATGCCCTGGCATTGAAAGTGTAGATGTCATGATAAGAGCATCAATAGAAACAGTGAATAAACAGAATAAGATTGGTTAACCGAGTCAGAAGAAAGATGCACTTAGCCTGCTATTTTGTTTCTGTTATTGCCCAGTTGTTGGTGATGAAGTACAGTGTGACCTTTTCCCTGCTGTCTTCATTTCACTAGATTATCCTCTTTCTTTCTTTTTCTAGCTTAATAAACTTCTTAATTAGAAGAATAATTTTGACAAGCTAAGTTGAAGTTTCATGGGATATAAATATAACCAACCTGGGATAAATGTGCTGCCATTTCCACAAGCAGCAGCTCTTCCTTGGAGTCAGGTCACCTTTGCATCCCTATGTGTAAAACCAATTTGCTCCCCAGCATCAGTGCAGCCTTGGACAAAGAGCAAAGCAGAACAGCACAGCAAGCTCTCACCAGAAACTGCTCAGTAAAAGCAACAGTTCCCCTTGCACCATGCAGGCCTCGCTGTCCCACCCACAGCTGGTGTGGTGTGATCAGATGCCACCAGATCACGCAGCGTCTTTCCCCCTTTCTATGGAAATAATGCCATCAAAAGCTTTAGGTCTAGTCAAGAGTTTTGAAGTCTTTCATGAGCAATGCAGATGAATAATGCAATCAGACTCTTCTTCAAGCAATCAGGGCAGCTGAGTATGGAAGTAGTGATTTTGCCTGAATTGGGAAAAACATGTGCCCAGAGGGGGGAAAAAAAAAAAAAAAGAATGGTGAAATAACAGCCCAGCTGGCTGGGAGGCAAAGAATGTGTTATTGTAGCCTTTAAATACAGTAATAGTTAATGTCTGCCCTCCCCTTTCCTTTCCTCCCATGCTGAGCATCAGAGGGGACTGTGAGTGATTGAAGCCAGTAGGATGTTGTGAATGGCGAGGGCGGTCCTGGGGGCAGTCTGTCAGCTGATGGAGTCATCGTTTGTGTTCTTACAGGGACTAATATGACACAATCGCAATCAGCTCCTCATCTACAGCTCCAGGATGCCTGAGTCAAAGGCAGAAAGAATTTTGAATAAATTCCCAAAGTGAAGAGGGGAGAAACAAGAGAGGAAAAGAAAAAAATAAACTGAAAGAAAGAAGGAAAGAAAGAAAAGCTGTTGTCCCAAACTGAGCCACTTCTCTCTATTTTTCCTGGTGTATTCTTATCAGTCCTCAAGGCTATTACCTTCTGGTTAAGGTCTGGTAATTGTAGGACAGTTTGTAACATAGGGATGTCTGGGGCACTGGCCCTTCTCTGAAGCAGCAGATGGGAGATCCACCATCTCCACAAGAACACGTTCAATCATCTCTTGCAAGCCAAGAACACGGCACAGGCAGAGGAGACAACAGACAGCAGTGAACCTCCTATCTATTATCTCAATTAACATTCAGGCCAGATGCTCATTAGGACTGTCCAGCGGCAGGTTTAGGTAAGCTAGGCGAGTTCTTACAAAGAAACCCAACTGCTTTAGCTCTGCCACAGGACAACCTGACGCTGGCCTACCGGCAGCGCCCCAGCTCAGCCTCACCGCGCCACAGGCAGCCATGTTGTCCCCTTGGCTGTGCAGCTGCCCCTGTGGCAGTGACAAAGCATTACCTGTGGGACCGCAGCTGGGGACAGCAACTCCCCCAAGATGACACCAGGACGCGCCAGCAGCTAGCGCAGCTCGTGCTCCACATCTAAGACGTTTCTTCCACCTGGCTCCTGCCTCACCTCCCATTTTTCTGGGTGCGAACTCCTCGTTGCATTTCTCCCACCCGCTGCTGTAGGGGGATTCTGACTGAAGATGGCAGCCTTTGCCCGTTCGTTTGCTGCAGCTGAGCCAGGGCTGGCTCCCAGTAATGGCTCCCAGTAACTCCTGGCTGTTTCCCAGCCCAGCTGTCCCCAAAGCAGCCACAGGCCACCCTGGCAGAGCTGCGGGATGGCCACAGCCTGTCAGCAGCACAGATAAGAGATACAGCAGCAGAGACACAAAAGCCTCGAAGGGAGCTGACAACAGCCAGCAGACTCATTTTCTGTAATTTGACAAAACCGTAGTTTATGCTGCACTGATGCTCACATTTGGAATTAGATGAAGAGTGGAAATCCACCAGGAGGCATCACGCAGTGCTCAGTTTTGGTGCAAAAATAACCTTGCTGATGTTCAGAGTGCTTTATGAACGTGAAGACTTCCACACCTGCCTCCTGAAAGGAAACGTCTCTGTAACCTCCGTATCTGAAGGTAGGGAAACTGGGGGAGAAAAATTAAGGCCGCAGAGGAATTCAGCTGGTTCACAGGAACCCGTTTCAGATGTTTCTGACACAGAAGCCTATGCTTTAAGCAGCTTCCTTTCTGCAGCCACACAAACCCCACCACAACAAGCCTGCACCATGATCACCCACTCCCCAAGAGCTCACAGGGCCCACTGAGACACCACTTAGCTCAGTCTAATCAGCAGAATAAAATAATGCTCTCCGTCAGAGAGCATTACAGATCTCCTAGAGTAGGCTCATATTTGGGATTGTCCCCCCAGTTTGTTTCTCTGATGACAAATTCTTCCAATTGCTTATTAACCTTGCCCTGAAAACACGTACCTTCCCTCCCCCCAGCTCCTGTGCTAGCTCCAGGTTCCAGTGAAAGCT